GGGAACCGGTCCTGGGGCCTGCCGCAGCAGTGATCAGCAGGCCTGTCCCGGACACCATCAGTTCCTTCCCCAGCAGGACAGACTTCTTCCAGACCGTGTTGCCACATGATGCACTGTCCCCCATGGGCCAGGTGTGGGGGGGAGGGGTCACAGAAGGCCAAGGCAGGGCTTCAGGCTTAGCGATCTGTCCCGACTCCGCTGCTTGCTCCCAGTGTCCAGCAAACTGCTTGTCTCTCTGGGACTCTGTGGCACAGACACAGTACCATGGATCTGGTTCTCCTCCCAGGATCGTGGGCAAGAGGAAGCTGACGCAGTCCCCACATTGTGGTCCATGGGCATGTGGGGGCCCTTGCCAGGAGGGCAAGCTTCCCAAGGGAGGAGACTCAGGGCTGGGGTCCTGGGGGGCCTACACGGAAAGGAGAATGAGGCCAGCTGAGAGAAATGGAGAAGGGAGAGCAAAGCCACCGTACAACCTGGGGACCTGTTGGCCCAAGACCCTCATGGGGGAGATATCTTTGCAGCTCCTGGGACTCCCCAGACTACCAGCCCTGCCCTGGCTGAGCTCCCTCTCCCCAAACTCCAGAGCCCTCTTGGGTAGTGACTTTTACCTGCAAGGGATAGACAGGCCTCTGGAGGCAGGTGTCCCAGCACTAGCCAGGCCCTGTGGCTTAGCTACCAATGGTCTAGGATGCATCTCCATATAGTCTCAAGAAAGAATATTCTAGTGCCAAGGGTTAGGGGAGTCAGGGACAAATACACATTCACGTCGGGAGAGCAGAATAACGAGTGTTTATTAGCATTTACCCTGCACCAGATGCTGGTGTCTGGGCCTCTGTGCACCCCCACATGGGACCCATGAGGTTCAGAGGGTGAACCGACCTGCCCACATCCATTGGCAGAGCCAGGGCTTGAACTGGGTCAGCCTCCAAGCCTCCCCTAGCCATCCCTCTCCCCCATGTGAACACATAGCTGTGTGAGCAGTGCAACGTGGCCCCTGGGCCCTGTCAGGCTGGCTCCCCCAGGGCCCTTGTGATGTGACCTTGGGACTTCAAGGCTATGTGCAGCCCCCAGCAGCCTCCCCTGGCCTGTCAGACTACCTGCTGCATGGACACGGCAGAGCCATATGGTATCCGACGGTGCCAGGCTCCTGGGACAAAATCTAGCGTGTTCAGAATGGGGCTCCGGGTTGTCTCAGTTCTGAGGTTTGGTAAAGTGACGTAGTTGCCCAAAAGGCTATTACTGATTTAAGGAAAGGTGGGTTTTCTGAGGCTGCGGCCGCACTTCTACAAGTAGCCACAAGGTGTCAGTCTCGGGCCAGGTTTGGAAAGCCCTGCTGGGAAGCGAGCTCAGACAGCAAAATTCAGCCCATCCCTGCTCATCCCAGGGTCTCTGCCTCTGGACGGGGTCCCAACATTCTTCCTGGAGCTTCTCAGTAATCGATCTGATTTTATTCTGATACGAATGTAATACAGGGCCCTCTAGTTTTCAGAACACAACAATGCTTCTGGAAGGTGGTGCACCTGTGGCTTTGGGCATCCACCTTGCCACATCCTTTGGTGTTGGGGAGTCCCCCAAATGGGGGGAATTCCCTTATGCCTCCCTCCACCACCTGTTCTGTAATGCCAGGATGGAGGTGGATAAGAGCCTCAGATCTGAGCACAAAAGGGTAGAGATCACCTGTACCCTGATGCTGTAGGGGGCTCCCTCCATAGACAGAAATATACCTTTGCCCCCCAGCCCTCTCCTCAGAGAGTCTCAAGTTGTAGTGTCTAAAACTGGTGGGCTCTTTCCGCTTTAATTCTAGAAGCGGCCGCCAGGTGTCAGCATGAGGCCGCTCAAGCAGCCGAGTGGAGGAAACCTGGCACTTGGGCTTCCTGGGGGGTGCTCCAGGACTCTCTTGAATAAGTGAGGACCTGGCCAGAGACCCAGGATGGGATGATCTTCTCCCAGGCCTAAAGGCAGGAGGGGCAATGAGGTTATTATTATGAGGTGTCCCTTCCTCCCTGCACTCCAAATTTGTCCCTTGTGTGTTCCCTCCCACTACCTGTATACCCTATAGGCCATGTGCTCTCCTTCCACCAAGGAAAACAAGTGGAATGTAGGGTTGTGGGTCACAAGCCCCACACCCACTTCCCTGACCCCCAAAGCCTCTAGTCTTGTCTCAGTGGTGCCATGGCTTAGCTAGTCCTCCAGGGGTCCTCCCCACCCAAAACCCTTTCCTCTGCTCCTTTCCTCTTGCTTGAGCATTCTGGGCTCCAAGATTTTGATAGACTAAAATAACCCTGCATGACTCTTTTTTGGGCCAGGCCTGAGATGGGACTCCAGATCAAGGCAGAATTCAGATTCAAGATACCGTTTGGGAGCTGGGAGTTTCCACGTTCTCAGGAGTTTGATCTGTGGGTTTGAAAGGCCACTTCCCTTTCAGCCTTTTAGCTGCCCACCTTCTCAGTCTGGTGAGCCTCCCATGAAATCCTCACGTCTGGCTTGGGGTCAGCCCTTCACTCTCCCTAGCCCCACATGTGGCTTGGCAAGTCCTGGCTAAGTTTTCCCATAAGAACCTGGCAATAGCCCCTTGAAACATCTGGGCATCTTGCAGCAGATAGCAGGGGACAGCACAGGATGCAAAGCCTTCAAGCCACAGAGCCCAAAGCAGAGTCAGAGCCCATACAAGCAGGTGACTGCTGCACCACAGGAACTGTGGACTGCTTCACACTGACTCCCTTCTATGTGCCCAGACCTGACTTAAGGCCCTTTAGCATCCCTTCGTCCCTCCCCATCCAAGAGCCCAGCAAAGAGTCCCTCCTGCCCTCTTCCCATGAGGTGGTGTGGCTCTGGGGCATCTGCATCCTTTGGGGCACAGCTGCCAGACCTGAGTACCCCCCTCAAGTCTCTCTTCCCCACCCAAAGTCTTATTCTCTCCATTGGATGTCCCTTCCCTTTGGCTAAGGAAGGGAGTTCAGGTGATGGCTTGAGAGAGAAAGGGAGAGGGAGAGTTAAACCCCAGCATGTGCCAGTAAGCTGGGTAAACTGGGGTGCAAGGGTACTGGGAGGATGGGAGTGGTGGCCTTCTGGGAGGTACAGACGTCTTTGCCTTTCAGCGAGTCTTTGCTCTGTGGTCTGCTCTCCCTGCAACCTTGGGAGAGAGGTTTAAATTCCCAGTGAGATTTAGTCCAGTCAGGGCAGCACATCTGCTGGGCCCTCCCCCAGCTGCTGATGGCTTTGAGGCTGTGCTTCGATTGGAGTTTCAGCCAGACTCAAAGGCTGTGAACCCAGCATCCCACACAGGGTGTCCGTGATCAAGCAGGACTGGTGCTCAGAGCTGCCATCTGCCATCATGCATGCGGTGCAGGGGGGCCAATTGGGAGTAACTGGTGAAGGGAGGAAACTCCCAGACGAGTCCCCTGCCCTTGAAAGAAGGAGGGACATGACGACGTTGCACTGCAGCTGCCTTGGGAGCACCTGGAGAGAGGTTTTTCTGATCACTCTCGAACCCTGCTTCATTCTGCATATGGCCCATCGCCATTTTACCCGTGCCACGCCCACTGGCATTCCAGGGTGTCAAGTGACTGCCAGGTGTCAATCTCTGGAGGCCCCGCCCACTCTCCACCCCTCCAGATAGTCCCACCTCCTAGCTAAAGGGAGTACTTCCGGTTAATGTCCACGCCCACACACTCCTCTCCGTGGGGTTAGGGGGCTGGCCAAATCTCCACCCCCTAATGCATGTGCCCTGGCGTGACAAGGTGCCACAGCCAGCTGCCCAGTGGCCTCAGCACCACTGAGTGGGCACAAAGCTACCCAATTTGGAGGGGCTCGAGGAAAGGCGTGGAGGGGACGAGGAGGTGAGGGGCAAAACTGTAATTTCAGTTGGCATTTGAGCAGGTGCCGTGGTCAGCGGTGGAGACCCTCTCCCGCTTCTAGGGGCTGTTAATATGCACACTCTAAAAGTGCCCTTCATCGTCTCTCCAGCCTCAGCCTCGTCCCCCACCTCCTCCTCCCCGTCAACCCGGCTGGAGGGTCTGGGCACCACAGCCAGAGCACCCCCTGCTTTGGCGGCGACTGCTAATATTGACCCGACCAGCAGATCATCGGCCGGGCAGTTTCAGCAGAGAGCTTTGGGCACCAGTGACTCCCCCGTCCTCTTCATCCACCGCCCGGGAGCTTCGGGGACTACGCAGCGACTAGAGTACAGGTGACCGGGCTTCCCTCCCTCTTGCTGCAGCCTCTCAGTGTGAGAGAAAAGCTGTATTCTAAGTGTTGAGGCACGGGTGGGCTGCGGGCTTGAGGCAGCTAAAAGTATCACCGTTTCGCAGGAGGGACACACCTCTGCTGCAGGAGGAAGGGTGAGGGCAAGCTTCCTAAGAACAGCCTCAACTTTGGAGGGTACAGGAAAGACAAGTGGGGAGGGGGCTTTTCCATAGGTCCCCACAGAGTCACAGAGGCTTTTGCAAGGAAAATAGGTTTTCCTTCACTAATCTGCCAAGCCAAGTGGGAGGGGCAGGAGTGGAGGGTAGGGCTGCCCTTCCCAGCAGGAGTGAACAGCTGTTTTTGCAAATGTAAAGGGCATGGCTTTTCTGTGTGAGAAATTTGTTCTTGCTGCACCACCACCGCCCCCACCCCCCTACCCCCCCCACCCCCCCACCTCCCAGTCCCAACCAAAGACAAACAGGACACTGTGCAGAGGGCTGGGGGCCCAAGATTTTGGAGCAGTTTTTTTATACCATTTTAAAAGCAAAGCACCCCCCTTCTCCCCACTCCCTACACCTCCTGACCATAACCAAAGAACCCCACTAAGTATTTGGAAAGGGGAGTGAGAAGGAAGAGGATGAAGGGCAATGCGGCTTGTACCCACGGCAGGATTAAAAGAGTAAAGCTTCTCTCTCCCTGCTGGCGGGCCCAGTTCTCCTGTTGCCTCTCTTGCCCACAGAACTGAGTGGTGGGGCAAGGGCAATTTCCCGGGGGAGTGCATGATTCTGTCCCCTCCATGTGGGGTCCCAGACTCCTCCATACACCCAGTGTGGTGTTTGTGGGGACAGATCTCATTTCCCCAGGGAAGCTCAGTGTCCCACTGTACCTCTCCAACCATCCAGGGGCTTTCTGAATACAGAGCTGTGCCCTTTATTTTGTTCCTGACCCCCTCCTTGCTTCCACCCAATGTGGGAATGTTGGAGTTGGGGGGGGGTCATATTGTGTATTGTGATCCCCCAAGGCATGCCTTTCGTGTGCAACCCCACCCCATGCCCAGGCACAAGTCCACACCAGCCAGGAAGGGGCAGGCCACCCAACAGAAGGGTCTCCTGCCTCTGTGGGCAAGCAACATTTTCAGGCTTGGCTGCTGGGAAGTCCAGCTTTAGGTGAACTGTGGGCCTCTTCCTCCTTCCCTTGTACTTTGAAAGAGGGGGAGCTAGGCAGCCATAAGGACAGGAAAGGAAGCTACTACCCAAAACCCTGGCAAGGTGACTTTCAGGCCTCCTCACTGAACAGCCAGGGGAGGAGGAGAGGACGGGGCTCCGGCTGGCAGAGGACTTGTCTTAAAAGGGTTCATCTCAGGAACACCTTTGTGTTTCCCCTAGGGGCCGAAGAGTCACTGCTGAGCTCCTTGAGGAGGAGGTGGATCCCAAGACCCAGGGCCCGGCATCTCACCCAGCTGAGCCCCCAGCCCAGGCTGCCCCCCAGCTGGAGCCACAGCCCGAGTCACAGCCAGCCAGAGCTGCTGGAGAACCCAGCCCAGAGGTGAGCTGCTGTGGCCTGTGGCCCAGGTGGTCCCCTCGCGCTCAGAACTGAGGCCTGTGGCCAGCCCCAGCCCCACAGAGGTGAGTGTCTTCAGACCCCCAGGGCTGTGCAGAGGTGTCCACGGGTTCAGCCCTCCAAGTGTCAGGGTCTGTGCCAGGGCCTTGTTTCCTTCAGTTCATGGAGCCCCTCTCCCCTCAGGCCCAGGGAAGCTGGGGTGTATTCAGAGTCACACCACAGGCATCTGTGAGTCAGGGGGTCTGCTCCTGGTGCCTGCCTGTCCCTTGGTGGCTCAGGTGTGGGTGCAGCAAGCCCCTTGCCATCTGGGCTCCACAGCCATCCTTGGAAGGGAGCTCCTGGAAGAAGAAGGGCAAGGGAGGTGGACAGGGCAGTCCATGGGAGCGGGGTGGGGGGGGGACAGACAAGGTGGGGACAGAATTGGAGGAAGGGGAAAGAAAACAGGGAGGGGAAGAGGGAAAACTCATCAGTTGTGAATCAGGAGACCCCAGGAAGGCTGGGCTCAGCTGGGGCACATGAGACCCAGGTCCTCCCTGCCCTGGGCTGCTGGGCTGTGGGACCTCACACGAGTGGCTTGACCTCTCTGGGTCCCTATTTGTCAAAGTGGGTGGCAGTCGCAGACCTCCTGACTGCTCAGTTGTGAGAAGAAAGGGAGGTAGTGGCCCAAGGACAGCAGGGGCACTGCAGTGAGGCGGAGGGCCTTAGAGCACCGGTGTCAGGATTCCATTGTGTTCAGCCGGAGGGGCTTCCTGTGTGTGTGTTCGAGTGGGGGTTGGTGGGGGGGGACTAGAAAGCCCTGGGGCCAGAGTGCCTGGGACACTTCTGGAGCAAGCTCCGTGGTGGTGGCCACAGCGGTTCACAGTTCACTGACAAGGTACTGGGGTGGGGGCACACGCTGAGCTGCCCTGGAGGGGTGCTCTGCGCCAGGGTCTTGGGGAGCTTTGGAAGTGGGGGTGGGGCGGGTGATTGTTCTTGCGCTGGACCCACAAGTCACACAGGCCACCCTTCAGAGCCCTCAGGGAGGGACCTAGCAGGTGACCCCCTTCTAGGCTGGTTTACCCATCTGAGAGAGAGGCCAAGAACATTCTTTTAAAGGGGTCTTTATTCCAGACGCTACATAAAACAGTACAATAGGGGCCTTGCCTGGGTCCTTCCCCAGTGTGCCAGTGCTCAGCCCCCTCCCCTGCGCCCCCCACCCGACCCCTACCTACTTTTCGGCTTTTGGTTTATTGATCTGTGGCCTGTGGTGTCTTGTGCCCTGGGTAGCTCGTGCTGTCGGGTGCTGGTGGTTCTGGGTGGACCCGCTGGGTCCCTGGTCCTTCACTTCCAGCTGGGGCTGTGCCGGCTGTGTCCCTCCCGGAGCTCAGAGCAGGGCCTGGGCCTCGGCGGCTGGCGGCGGGTGCCCTGCGGTGGGGGAGGGAGGGAGGGGTGCTCAGGGGACCCTCAGAGAATGGAGCAGGGTTTGTAGATTGCTGGGCTCGGACCCAGGGAGCAGGAGCGGCCAGCCTGGAGCCAGGGCTGTGGGAGGGAGCCGGGGAAGGAGAAAGGCTGCCTGCTGGGAGCAGGGGAGCAGGGGAACCGGGAGCCGGGAGGAGGGAGGCGGGAGCGAGCGCAGCCCAGCCGCAGGCCTGGCGTGTAGAGGCCAGGATCAGTGGGTGAGTCCGAATCGTGGGGGATGATGATTCTCCGTGGAGCGTGGGTTTGCGATCTGCAGGGGAGGCTTGTGCTGCCCTGGTGCTGGAGCAGGGCAGCGGGGGGTGGGGGTGGGTGGGGTAGGGCTGAAGTTCCGCCAGCCAAGCTCTGGACAAAAGGGACCCCAGCCCCACAAGGGGCCTGAGCTGCAGCTCCCTTCCTACCGTGGAGGGCCGGAAGTCGGGGAGAGCCTGACACTGGTCCTGGCCAGGGGCGGCCAGTGCCTTTTTTGAGACCTAGGGTGACCCGGATCTGCCCCCTTCAAGCCTGCCCCTCTAGCCACACTTTTGACTAAATAAGGCGAGGGTTCAGCAGGCAGCCCCGCGGGGGGAGGGAGAGCATGTGCGCTCCCCCCTTGCCCTGATGGCTCAGTCTGGCACCCCAAAGTGGCCTCAGCCATCCTACCTCCAAGGTCCAGGCAGCAGCTGAAGGGCACATCTCCGAACTTCTCCAAGCTTCTCCTGGCTTCTCCAGGGCCGGCGCCTGTGTGGGCAGAAAGCAGGGGAGGGACCCACTGATCAGCCGCTGGCGTGATTGCCCCCCAGGCACCCCCAACCAGGGGGAAAGCCCACACTTTGAAAAGGGGCTCTCACCTCAGCACACGCCGCCCCCCACTCCCAGCCCCTGGGGAAGCAGGCCTGAAGGAAAGGTGGAGAACCCAGAGC